CCAGGCATCGAGTTGGGCTCTGTAGACGCTGCAAGCGCGAGAAGAGCTGTCATGTCAGTCTCGTCCGAAGTAACGGAGACGGTGAGGTGGGCTTCCTTGCAGAGAAACGAAGACTAAACGGTATGTCCGTCTGCAAACCCTTAAGTCTGACGCTATCCATGGACACGTGAGATTGACGAAAATCAGTGGCCATGACGCGACCGAAACGTTCTTTGACTGTTGTTGGCGATTCAGAAACAGTCAAAAGGTGAGATTGCAACGACATAGTCTTCCAGCTTGCATGCTTAACTGCACGGGCGAGTACCTGCCGAGACGTGGCACAGATCTCCTGAGACAGCCTGCGAAATTGGCACGTGAGGGAAAAGGTGAGCTGACTCTTGATTACAGAGGAAGCGCGTTTTTGAGGAGGTGGATAGAGTTCCTGGAAGAGAATGCCGATCTGAGGTATCCAGACGTCTTAGTGCTCCAGGAGGCCTGATCCCTTGTCCGCCCGACTATTGGGACGGATGAGGCGCAGCTGATACGCCAATGGTCTGGTTCGCGCTACGGCCCGCGGGATGATGTTGAGACGATCTAGGAGATCGCAACGACCGGTCGACCCGTAGCATTCGTCCCCGAGCTCACTCGCTCCAGAGGATCTCATGGATTGAGATGAGCTTTTTATGCCTCTTGAAGATGTTGGTTCGGGAGCCACCAGTTCGCGCATCATGCATGACACTCGTAGATTTCACGGGCACATCATTCAAGCGAGCTAGCCCGCCGGTTCCCGGAGTCTGGGAGGAAGCCTGTTGAGTAACGTTGACGCCGTGCCGTTGTGAGTGTCGAGACGGCCGTCACGAAGTTATCGCTTAGAAACTGATCCCGGCTGTGGTACACGACCCCTGGCCTGTATGTTTCAGGTAACATAAGCCTGTGCCACCCTTGCTCTGTGACCTCTGTCCTCGTGGCTGGGCCCGCAACTTACCTCCTGCCGAATCATATTTTGCCCGACGACCTGAACTTGCATGTCGTCGTCGTTGGACCTGAGGGATGGAGTGGTCGTTGCGTGTTCACAATGGCGGGGGTCAAATTCTCCCTCCGAGTCGCATGTGCTGCGAGGCGTTTGAGCAAGTTTGACGCCGGGCCCGTGTACCTTGGCGCTTCCGAACCTGGGAACAAGCTCGGCGGATAGCTTTGGACCGACGCGAAAGGCGGTCTGTTGTCTATCATGCTTTTCTCACTGCCCCCTCGACTTCTCTATGCGTCCCAAGATGTGAGCAGCCCCCTTGATAGTGCATAATCAGGAAGCAAAGCTAGTAGAGACGGCGCTGTGTTGGGGTGGTGGTGCTGTCAGACTCGCCGTCCGTGAGATTGATTGGTCGCTTCAAACTCCATTCATAATCTACGAAGCTTCAGGTCCATTCATGCTCAGTTGGCATGCCCACGACCGGGCCCTCTGGGCCTGCCGAATGTTGGCCCTTCACGGGTCAAGGCGATCTTATCATGCCACCCCTCGCGATATGATGCTCCCTCCTCATCACCCTAGGCAGATCAAACCGCCATGTTGCAAGGAGCTGTGGCTCCATGTGTTTGGGTGTCATCGAGACGAGTCCCTGCTGGTTCAGCACATGATGTTAGAACTCTTTGACGACGTCAACGTGTTGTGATCAGGCCTACCACCAGGTTTGACAGCATCTGCTATTTGCTGCCGCAGCACCGTGGTTCAACTAATCGAAGCGGGAACGTGCGACGGCGTGCATCGGATGTCTGAGACATGCACGATGCGGCCAACACAGACCAGTTGAACTGGTTCATCAGGGATGTCTAGTGGCGAGCCGAACAGGAGCCGCAGCAGCTCTGAACCAATGCATTGATCAGCGTTGTGGTGGTGGGCTTTGTACGCAAATAACGCCAGTCTGGGTAAGGTACCTAGTAAAGCAACGACTGGTGTAATCGTGTTGACGCATTGCAAGGCCAGCGTATATGCAGAGCGGTAGCGCCTACCGAGCGACCCACGCGCCACAGGCTGGGGGGTTGCGAGGTCCATCAATGCACCTGGCGTTGCTGATACTGAGCAACGATTTGCTGCTTGTCAACTAGGTAGTATGGCTAGCATTCGGCAAGGATGCTATCTTGACAATACGATGTGTCTCTGGCTGACTTGTTACTTTTGAGCTCCAGGGGTTAGCTTTCTCTTCGCCATGGCAGAGGACACAGAGGTTCTGTTGAGGAACACGTCCATTGAGCCACCGGCCATCGGCTGTCGAGACAGGATATTGAAGGGCCAACGTACCGCCATCGGTTCTGGACGAACAACGAGGCGGCCGGGGCTGAGGGCTTTGACCACCTGGTCGGCGGATGGATTCGGGGTTTGACGAGGTCACCATGTAACAGCGCCAGGTCTGTCAAGGGGGGGGGAGCAGGGTTGGAGGATAGATGAGCCTTGGGATTAACTCGAAATAGCCACCTGCGGGTGGCAGCCACAGAAAAGGGAGACCGGATTGCTATGGTGAATGGTCGATCAGCACGCAAATCCGGCCATCAGGTTGCATCGGGAGAGGGCCACGGGGTCATGGTCTGGGGGGTTGGATGCCAGTCTTGGCTCGGCTGCAGAGCCAGAACCAAAGTGGTTTGCGGAGTCGTTCGTACTTGTACAGTCGACAAAGAGCTTTTTTGGCGAGGGCGAGGGTTCCAAATATTGGCGAGTCTGGCCCCTGACGCTCTGAGCGCGGTCGTCCCATCAATCGTATATGGCACGCGTGTACCATGTATCCCATGTCAAACCGTGCCGGATCTTCAGCTCCATCTTCTGGGCCTTTGCGTGTTTGGGAACCTGGTATCTATGAGAGGCAAAGATCTAAAGTCCGTTCAGGTGGCTCGCGGGCAGCTTGCTCAAGGAACCACCCCCACTAGCAGTACGCTAGAAGGGTCAGCATCGGAAGAGTGGCCATATGTGGATGGTGCTAGCAAGGCGAGTCCTATGCTTTTGCTCATTGCTGTCAACTGCTCAGCTCAGCTCGGCTCAGCTCAGCCAAAATGCCACGCCAGCCACAAGCGGCGTGTTCCGTGTAGACCATTGATCCGGTGGGCGATGTCAGAAATAAAGAGAGGTACAAGACGTTGAAGGCTCCTTCTGCATCCCCGCGACGTAGAGTACATGGAAGCTCCTCGGGATCATCCGGACTGTCCCATTTCCGGTTGACAGACACCATTGTGGCAGGTCCGCTTGAGGAAGGGAAGAGGAAGGGGAAAGGAAAGACCCCTGCGACCCCTTCTCCACTTTCGGATGCTGGTGGCGCACCCTCCCTGGTGTTCCCTGCCCTCCCCATGGCCGTGGCTTCCTACCCCCGGTGCCTTCTAGGGGAACGACCTTGGGGTGCAGAACCCCGGGAGACACCCCTCCCACCTGACACGGGCCTCTGTGGCGCTCCGAGAGGAAGAGCTCCGGAGAGATTCAATGTTTCCAAGGAAGGAACCTTGTCAACGTCCAGCTCTTTTCTGGCCTACTGGCTCCCCCTTCGCTACTACCAAGTACCAAGTCAGGTGCCTTAGCCCCAGGTAGGCATCACTTCATGCAGAATGTCTGCATTGTACAGTTTGTGTCTCGTGGTGCCATGATAATCACTCTCTCGAGATGGCGGCCAGACGGCACAACCGGTACTCCATGTCGTGTCAAATTCCCGAGAGCATCTCGCCCTGACGCCGCTCTGTCTGTCTCTTCTCACAGGCACAGGCACCCCAGAAAGACAGACAGTGGGGTGTCGTTGAAACCACAGCATGCCGACCAAGGCAATCCCTCACCCCCCTTCATCCAGGGTTCTTGTCTCGCGTCGACTCGCTGCTCCCTCGTCGTCATCCGACCACACCACCGCAAATCCCAGGCGTCTCCAGATCCAATGGACGGGCATGGACAGGTACAGGACTATCCTATCCACCCATCCCATGCCGTCCCATGCCGCAACGTGACGGCGTGGATGGCATTGCGCCGATAGCTGTCGAGTAGCTCGACGCCTTGCCCAAGGCGGGATCGTAGGGGGGGGGGGTGCGTCAATGGCTTTATGCTAGACATCGACAATTGGCATTTAATAGAAAACCATTGGCGCCAGCGAGTTCCCCTCTTCGATCCACGCGTGGTCCAAGGTCCCGAGCTTCATCTCCATTGCTCTGTCCAGTCGTACCAGTCCTTCCCTGGCCTTTCATGCTGCATAAGGCCGTGTTTCACACCAGCGCTGTGCCTGCTTCCTTCTTTTGTCTGGTTCTGCTCATCACCATCCTCCACAGCACAAACACACGAGCCGACCTGGTCTCATCGATCTGACCGACCCTGACCAGCGACCCGCAATCCGACCCGGACGTCCCTTCATTTTCTTCATTCTTTGTCCCGTGGCCGCACATCTCTCCCTCTCGCTGTCTCTTTATTCTCTCGTCCTCGAACTCTCTCCGCTCCTTTTTCGTTTCATTTTATTTCATTTATTTTCCTCTTCTTCTGTCGTCTCTAGTCTCCGCAAACTCGTCACCTCCTCTCCTTCGTACCTACGGTCATCAACCCACTCCCCAAATCCGGCCTATCACCCGGTGTGCATGCACTGCATCAGACGTCAGCTCGGCCAGCCTGTCGCAGACCTGCACCGTTGGCGCCATTCTGATACATGACGCACTGGCAGCTGGGATCTTCCCTCGAGACTCCCGCAGCTACCACCTCGGCCCTCTATCCTCCAACTTACCCACACCTCTCTCCTCAGCCGCCTGCGGGCTTGCTTCTCGATCTTGATTGATCAGGGTCACCCTCGCACATCGTGGGCGCCTGTGCTTGTTACCTTTCTGGACTTCTTCGTCTCTGCTTTCTCGCTCTCTCTCGTTCTTTACTCTCACCTCCACTCTCTGCCTCCCCCCTCTTCCTTGCGTCTGCCTGACGTGTTGCATTGCTGGTCATATGCGCCATGACTTGAGGCAACGACGCATAGATCACGGCCTGGCAGTCCACACTCAACGAAAGTGCCCAACCCGAACAGCGACGGTGCCGATAATTCTTGGCGCCTTTCCCCAGTGAGGCAGCAACTCGCCGACTTCATCAATCAGCATTGCCGCCGCTTCAAGCTGCCTAATTTCTAATATCAACCCAATATGCTCTCTCGGCTGAGATAGTCGTCACTCATATACCAACGTCATCCACCTTCGGAGCCACGACCCGGGCTGTCCTACAACCCGTACGCCAGGAGTTCCAGCTTCCCTCCCGGTCGTCCAATCGACGCCATGAAAGTCAGCATATTCAAACCCCAACCAGCCGTTGCCGGAGGTCAGGCTGCCTCACGCCCAAAGACCGGTCAATCCATCCGGGGCAAGATCTCTGGCCCCATTCCCATACCAACCCCCACAGACGACGAATTTCCCATGCGCAACCCAGGCACCGGCATTGCCACCCCATTGAGCGCTGAGGACCGGGAGAGGCAGTTGCAAACGGAAGCAGGCCACCAGACGAGCCCGCCATTTACGCACCCCGAAGCTGTGCCGACCAGAAACACCGACTCGGTAATGGCGCCTTCAGGATCAGCATCTGTGACGGGTTCCGCTTCGGGTTCAGGAACGGGATCAGCACATGCGCACCAAATACCAAGAGGGTCTCCACAATCACAACGCAGGACCAATCCACCGAGCACCTTAAGACACTCAGTTGTCAGCGAAGCAACTGAAAACACGAACAACAGCAAGGATAAGCCGCAGAGGAAAAAGTCAACACTGCGTGGCGCATTCAGCAAGCTCTTTGGGCGAAAAAAAGAAGACGACCAGCCTCCTCAGTGCCGGCCAGAGCG